ATTTTATTCTTTGCCTTTTTTATATCATAAATTGTAGACTTTCCAATGTCGTATGTTTCAATTAGAACAGTATTGCTCACACCACGTTCTAGTTTCTTAAATATTTCAAGTTTGTCACTCAATTTCAACGTGTTCTTCTTTCTCTTCACACAACGAAGTTTATCTACTTTAGGAGCCATTATTATGGGCTTGTACAGTACTCTGTAAACGGAAAGAGTAGGACTCAAAATATTGTTATATTACAATGGTATTCTATTCATACTGTGCTTGATATAATGCATTCACGGAAATGTAATATTTTTGCTGAAATGACGTACATATTACAGTGGAAAGTGGGATAAAATCGTGACGAAAACAATGACTTTCGCTTTCTTTCGTTCAAAAGATGTTACCGTAATCGCTTTTCGAATGGTTTTCAGTTAAAAAAACTGTTGTATTACAATAATATTCTATCCTAATTGACTTGAATAAATACTACGATACCATATTTCTGAATATTTTCATTAAAATCCATCAAAATCATTTTCCTTGTCATTGTCTGCAGCACCAAACAGCTTCTCCCAGTCCTCTCCTTGAACAGGGCTAGAGGGTACGTGTTTTTCGAATCGTTTTCAGTTAAAAAACTATTACATCACACATATATTTTACCTAAACTGCGCCTGAATGAATATATTCTCGGAAACAAATAGTAGTTTTGCTGAAACGTGATGTATTTCATTGTAAAATAGGATAAAATACATGACGAAAACAAAAGACTTTACCTAAGCTTCTGATGTTCTTGAGATGTTACTCGTTTTTTTAATAGTTTTCGGTTAAAATTCTGTTATATTACAATGATATTCTATTCATACTGTGCTTGATATAATACATTCACGGAAATGTAATATTTTTGCTGAAATTACGTACGTATTACAGTGGAAAGTGGGATAAAATCGTGACGAAAACAATGACTTTCGCTTTCTTTCGTTCAAAAGATGTTACCGTAATTGCTTTTCGAATGGTTTAGTTAAAAAACTGTTGTATTACAATAATATTCCCTCGTAATTGACTTGAATAAATACTTGAATGGAAATATACGATATTTTTGTTGAAACTACCCGCGTTTCAGTGTAAAGTGTCGTAATAATATATGGTAAACAATTTGCCTTCGGTACTCGTGTTTCAGGCACTGCGAGCCTCAGTTTATAGGACGTAGAGCATTTTTACTGAAGGTTTTGTTGTTCCATTACCCTCAAAAACGTGGGTCGAACTATAAACGAGGAATATCATAAATTAACGATTTCTTGGTCAAAAAATCAGGGTCGACCTATAAACGAGGGGGGATTATACTGTAGACGAGTATATACGGTATGTTGTCACAGTTTGAGTGCTCGTTTTAAAGTGGCGACCACGTGGTCGCTTGTTGTCGCTGTGCAGCTGTGGTGCTCACGCATGCGTACATACACACAAAAGCCCGCTAAAAAAAAAATATATATATATACAGGTATATAGTTTTCGAAAAGTCCGGATTCTCGGGTGGTCCGGATTTCTGGCATCCGGATTTTTTAACTTTTACTGTATATCTAATCAACAACATAAATATTTTGTCCCTCTTTTGAATAAATTAAACCTTCCTATTTTAACTGTACAGTATCTAAAATTCTAAATTAATATTATAATTTATACATTGCTCACCTCTAGATGCCTCCTGAAGTTTGATGTTGCTTTGTTAGATCCAGCAACAGCCTGGTTACAATGATGGCAAACAGCTTTCTCTCACCGGAAGTAGGCATGATGAAATGACCATACACATTTGATTTGGGTGGCAATTTGCCCACATAAGATATCTGCTTTTGAAACAGATATAAGTCACCTGTCACAGTGACATTGACTAACACACTGCTGAGTCTGAGTGCTGACAGTTCAATACTAATATGCCCCAGTCACTTCAATATGGACAGGAGAAGGAGGGCAAAGTGGTAAGCTTATACTGCCATCACAGACCAACAGGGCAGGGCAGGCCAGGACGTGTACTGAACACGTGTGTTTTACCCACACTATCTCAGTCAGGCCCACGGACAGGAACTGAACTTGTTGTGAATCTTAAATATATCTGAAATATATTTATTAGAAACACATGAAATATGCGGGAAATAGTTTCTCAGTTCAATGAAAATTAATACATCACTTGATGTATTTTTAATATATTTTTTGTGCTAGCTAACTGTATATTTTAGTTTTTATTTGAATATAAGTTAATTCTTGCAAAATAATGAAGATGCGTATTATAGCATAATATATTATTTTATCAATTCACATCAATTCATTACATCAATTCATATTAATTCACATCAATTCATATCAATTCCAATTCACGGATTTTTTTAATCAATTCCAATTCAATTCATAATTGACCCCTTGTCTGGTGGCAACACCTGATCAGCCCCAGCCTGCTTGCATACTCAAGTGTCTTAGTTCTCAGTAGGCCTTTAGCAAATCTGATTAGACCAATGTACAGTATTCAGTAAGTGCTGTTCATTTCATAAGATTTTTTGATTAATATTTCCCATTTCTTAAAATACTATTTTTCTGGTGACCAGAGTATCTCAGAGTCTGAAAAAAGTGAATTCCAATATACAGTCATCCCTTGGTTATAGCGCATTTGGTTATCCCGATTTTCGTTATCACACCTCCATCAAAATCTGCACACCTGCTGTTATAGCGCATTTTTCAAGCCAAGAATTTCGTTATCACGCAGTTGCCTCCAGGTGTTTTTACCCATTTGCTTCACCTACATCTATTGAGGATAAAATCTTTCACCTACAAATTGACAATAACACATTTGCTGTAATCAGACATATCTAAGTTGCCTCAACAATTGCAACCCCAGTTCCAATTTCACATTGTGTCATTACTAAGGAATAACGAAGTCTCGGGTGCACTCTAAGATTGAGAGAAAACAGAGGACTCAGGCGTCCTGAAGCGATGAGAAAACGGACTCCTCAGACGGGGGACTCAAATAAAGAAAGCATAGCTATATTTTTTGTGGACTACAGTATTGAGCGTACCCTTTTCATCACTTTGTAATAAACCTAGCCATGCCTATGTGTGTTTCTGATACTTACCATAACATTATCCATATCTTTAGTGGGTTTAAATGGTCGTAAAATGGGAAAATTGGGGTTGGGTCTTGGGTGCCTGGAACCAATTAGAATAAATCCCATAGGTTCTGTACTTTCGTTATCATGCACTCGGCGCGGTCCCAATTAGGCGTGATAACCAAGGGATGACTGTATTGAAGTCCGATTACTGTTTATGTAGTGTTTCCCCTCCATCACCTGTGTCACCTACCATTCCCCTGCATCACTTACCATTCCCCTGCATTACCCACCATGCCTCTCGCCTACTACAATGATTCATTCTTTGCCTGCCATGCTGGTAAGTGTTACTTTTTTAAAATTAGTAATTGCATGTAAACATACTGTATATGGGTCAATAATTTTTCATTGTTGTACTTTTGGAGGGGGGGGGGGTGAGTGCCCCAATAAGTCGGAATTTGGGAGAAGACAAGGTTTTACTTTTACTCAAATTAATCTGTCGGGCAAGGATTCCAACAATGCTAATTATATTTTTTCTATGTCAAGACAGTGACATTTTATGAGGAAACAATATTTAACCCAATGCATGTCCTTCACTTGTAAGCCTACCCATGCACCGCCACACGGCCAACCCATGCACCGCCACACGGCCAACCCATGCACTACAGCCCTGTGTTTGGTTCTTTGTCGATGGTAAACCCGCCATCGCATGGCTCCACGATTATCAGCTAGCACCGTACATTGTACTTACTATCAGTGTTTTTTATATAGTGAGAGGACAGCACTAACATTTAGATAGAAATGTGTTATGGAAACTGTGTAGTGATATTTTCTGTGTTTTTGTGACTGTAAGGTGGTGCGTCAACTCTGTTGTTTAGAAAATGTGAGCAGTGCCGGCTGGTATCATTGTTTTGTTATCGTTTGCTCTCTTTTTGTGACAAGAGGTTGTGTGGGAGTCAGAGTGACATCTCCACTCCACCTACAAAAGTCCCCTTAGCCTCGAAGGGGACATATGATGATGACCAGGCTTATTCTTCAGGATGTGGTGAATGTTGTTTAATTGTTTTGTACTGATAGTAGTGTTGTGAGAATTGTTTTGTCGGTGATACATGTTTGGGGACTGACTGGGAACATCTCATTGAACCCCATGTTATACTGCTCTCTATTTACGATAATTTACCTAGCGATGGGTTTTTCAGGAACCTAACTCCATCTTATCCCAAGGTTTACCTATACTGTACAGGGGGGTATTTCTATGAAGTTGGAAAAAAATAAGATTTTTTCCAAAAAATATATATTTTCTTTATTAAAATAATTTTTTTACCGATCTCATAATTTATATCTTTATGCCTTAATGCCAACCTTTCCGTAGTTTGCTCAAACCAACATCATACTGTACTTTTCCATTTAGTTTAAAAGCCCTTTATAACAGATAAAAGCTAGCTTCCTTAAGTTCAGCTAATATTTATAGTTTAATAATAAAACACTAGAGTGCTGTTACTGAAAAATACTGGAATGATTTACATGTTAACATCAGTATCTGATGAAAATAGAAAATTATGAACTTTAACACATTAACAGTTGATGAAAACTACCATATGTTTATTGAAAAAAAAATAACGTACCTTCACAAAACCATACATTTAGAAAAAATAATTACATAATGTTATTTCCATGCCTTATTTTGATGCATATCTGCATTAAAATCACTTTAATGATATCCAATTATTTTTTCTTCTGATTATAATTGATTAAAATCACATGATTGAATTTACTTGACTAAACTCATGCCAACCCTGTTTCTTTTAATAGAGTTTCTCCTTCCACAGTAAATCTGTAACTAGAACTGCATTAAGTAACAGTCCAGTGCAAATTTTTTATGTATAGCTTTCCACCACTTACTGTGTTCTTCTAACTACACAGACCTGACGTTACATCATCATCAGCCAGCAGTCAAGTGGAGTCATCAATGTGGTATAGCACAACTACTGTAGCTGACACATCAACACCTGATCCATTAGACCCAGAGGATCCACAGGAGATCAGAAGGAGGCGATTAGAGCGCTTCTCACAAAACTCCTAGGGAACCATATTGTTATATTTCAGATATCCTGTTGTTAATTTCCAGTCATGGTTAAGAAGATAGGTTTATGTAAATAAGCTATAGGGAATATCAGTTTTACTATTTCCGATTTTGTGTAAGAGGATGCGACTTCCTATATATTAGGGGAAAAGTTCTTTTGAAAAATCAGATTAATTCATATTCAATGGTACTTATTTTTTCATGTTGCACATATAGGGACTGCTTTTTTATAGATGAAATGTGGGTTTTGCAGATGGGTGTCAAATAATTTTTTTTTCTTGTCTGCATGAAAAGATTTATAATCTGCATTAATCACAAGAGTATTTCATGCAATAATGCTAAATGGTGTGGGGAGTTTGATTTTGATTGTGCCCAAACTTTATTCAAAGGGACAACTGAAGGCTAGCAGCCAAGACTGTTGTCATTATTTGCTTAGAAAATATATTTTAAATTACTTT